GTGTCTGTGTTGATGAGAAAAGTTGTTGCACGCGGAGCTCCTGATTGGCTCTGAAACGTGTCGATGATTATCGGTACTGTAACATTATTCATGAATGTTGTTTCGTGTTTGTTCTGTGGTTTTGACCCGCGTCACGTTCACTGCTGTCCGACTGCAGCGAAGCAAAGGGTGGGGCAGCCCGGGGTCACTGCGGGACGGAAGTGCTCGTTATCCCGTTACAGACTGATGGAAGTGTGTCGAGATTGATGCTGCCACAGGAAGTGGAAGAAGATCAACACGAAAGGAAACAAAGAGATGGAGGATGAGGTCACTGAGTGAGAGACCAGAGGTCAAAGTGGGGAGAAGCTCTGACTCACGCAGACCTGGTGCGTCACAGAGACGTCACAGAAGCTGAAGTTTGAGTCTTAGAGGCAGCTTCAGATAGATCGTGACCCTACCCCAGCATCGCAGGCTGGTCAGCCGTGAATCTCCTCAACACCTCCTCAGGACAACTGCAGCTGAAGGAGAGGCTTCTGCTCCCCTCAGAGACTCTGATGAACAGAACTCGTGCAGGACGTCAGTCTGTCAGCACTGAGCTTTCGGGTATCGAGCTTCATCTCCATGATCCTCGGGTGACAGACTCATCGATAAGATGAACGAAGCAGATCGACGCTGCAGCAAATCAGTGAAAGTTAATGAACCACAGAAGAACTGCAAAACAATCAGCGGAGGTGGAGAAAACCGAGGGCTGCAAAACTGCTGCAGTGAGCGTGTGCAGAGGTGAGGACGCGTCAGAATTACCAGAGGGGCAAACCGCCATCACCCTGCAGAGGGGGAATCGGTCCAGGGTGGTCATCCCAGTTACTAATGGCAGGAACCGTGACATCACCCTCATCCTTCGCGCCGGGCGACTGCGGCGAGTTACGGCTGTTTGCCCTGTAGACGCCGATCACTGGTTAAAACCGGCGTAAGTCGACTCCTGGCGCTGGAGAGAAGGAGCGTACGGTGAGGTGCAGAAATGCAGCCGACCCCAGCTGACCCCAGCTGACCCCAGCTGACCCCAGATCAGCAGGTGAGACGGCTGCTTGTTCCAAAGATGAGGATGAAATGGGATGCATCCCGTCTCTGA